GTTTTGCCAGTAAGAGATGTGGATCTTTAAAATCCAGAAAAACGCATGTCAAAAATGTTATACATTTATTTGCATTTTAATGAGGGAAATAAGTATTTGACCACTCTGCAAAACATGACTTAGCACTTGGTGGCAAAACCCTTGTTGGCAATCACAGAGGTCAGACGTTTCTTGTAGTTGGCCACCAGGTTTGCACACATCTCAGGAGGGATTTTGTCCCACTCCTCTTTGCAGATCTTCTCCAAGTCATTAAGGTTTCGAGGCTGACGTTTGGCAACTTGAACCTTCAGCTCCCTCCACAGATGTTCTATGGGATTAAGGTCAGGAGACTGGCTAGGCCAATCCAGGACCTTAATGTGTTTCTTCTTGAGTGACTCCTTTGTTGCCTTGGCCGTGTGGGTCATTGTCATGCTGGAATACCCATTCACGACCCATTTTCAATGCCCTGGCTGAGGGAAGGAGGTTCTCACCAAAGATTTGACAGGTACATGGCCCCGTCCATCGTCCCTTTGATGCGGTGAAGTTGTCCTGTCCCCTTAGCAGAAAAACACCCCCAAAGCACAATGTTTCCACCTCCATGTTTGACGGTGGGGATGGTGTTCTTGGGGTCATAGGCAGCATTCCTCCTCCTTCAAACACAGCGAGTTTGAGTTGATGCCAAAGAGCTCGATTTTGGTCTCATCTGACCATAACACCTTCACCCAGTTCTACTCTGAATCATTCAGATGTTCATTGGTAAACTTCAGATGGCCTTGTATATGTGCTTTCTTGAGCAGGGGGACCTTGCGGGCGCTGCAGGATTTCAGTCCTTCACGGCATAGTGTGTTACCAATTGTTTTCTTGGTGACTATGGTCCCAGCTGCCTTGAGATCATTGACAAGATCCTCCCGTGTAGTTCTGGGCTGATTCCTCACCGTTCTCATGATCATTGCAACTCCACAAGGTGAGATCTTGCATGGATCCCCAGGCCGAGGGAGATTGACAGTTCTTTTGTGTTTCATCCATTTGCAAATAATCGCACCAACTGTTGTCACCTTCTCACCAAGCTGCTTGGCGATGGTCTTGTAGCCCATTCCAGTCTTGTGTAGGTCTATAATCTTGTCCCTGAAATCCTTGGAGAGCTCTTTGGTCTTGGCCATGGTGGAAAGTTTGGAATCTGATTGATTGATTGCTTCTGTGGACAGGTGTCTTTTATACAGGTAACAAACTGAGATTAGGAGCACTCCCTTTAAGAGTGTGCTCCTAATCTCAGCTCGTTACCTGTATAAAAGACACCTGGGAGCCAGAAATCTTTCTGATTGAGAGGGGGTCAAATACTTATTTCCCTCATTAAAATGCAAATCAATTTATAACATTTTTGACATGTGTTTTTCTGGATTTTTTTGTTGTTATTCTGTCTCTCACTGTAGGTACTCTAGGCCTACAGCCAAATCTGATTTGTTCTGGGTTCACCAAGGGAGCACTGGCTTCCTTCCTCCTTCCTGATCATGAATAATGTAAGCTCATTTGTCAATCTATGAGGCAATTTGTGATTGAAAGAGAGTCTGACCAATGGGAGGATTTGACAGTCCCCCTCTGCTCTCCCCTTGTCCTTGTGCATACTCAGAGCAATATGTCCTCAGAACACTAGCAGAGGAGGAACAAGGAAATGTGGTTGATTTTAAAAACACAATCATGTGACAGAGGTGCTGCTTGGTCTCTGTTTATTACAGGCATCACGACGTCTTCAGACAATGTCAAACATTTTACAGACTGTTGTTTAAATGGTTCCATTTAAATAGAGGGAAAAGCAAATCACTGGAAAGATACTCAAAATACTCAACTCATAACAGGAGAACACCTGCAAAGCCCCTCAAAAGGCACTGGAAATCAACAGCTTTAACATTAACCGTTCTTTTTTTAAACATGCACACTGCTAGCAAACACATCTGTGGTGATGATGACATTGTGTTCTTGTTACATGATTCTGTAGAATGCAATACATAGAGCCTTGATATGTGCTATTTCTTGAGCTTATGACTACACCATTATGACACACTGTGTTTGCATGTGTAGTACACCAAAAGCCACCATAACTTGCTGTACCAAAGCTACTATAAGGACTGCAGGCTCCAGTTTTAGATGTATTTCGGTACTGTAAATGTGGCTTTGTAGAGAGCAGATATCTTAAATATTTTCAAGGTTAAATACACCATATGTGGTTGCTATTTAAATATATAATGTGACTTTTAAGTTAGATTTACCATTTAATGGAATTACTTTGATGACAACAGTTTTCTGAATTTTCTTCATCTCTGCAAAGGAAATATTTAAATAATAATGATAGTAGTACATTCAAACAATAGCATAATAATTCCTCCATATTATTGTTGTGGTTTTAAATATCTCATGACGGCAAGCTTGGTGCGGACAATTTGTCTGTCTGTCTGTCTGTCTGTCTGAGAAATCCACATCTATCAGTCTATGAGGAGTGTCCATCAACGTCTCGCTTGATGATAGATCAGTAGCTGTCCATTGGCCCAGATATGTTAGCTGAGTTAGTTTGAGGACGGTGTCACAGATTGCAAAGGTTATATGTTTCATCCTCCTCATATGGGCCACATGACAGCTTACTCTGTACTATAAGTCACTCTTTATAATACAGTTGAAGTCAGAAGTTTACATACACCTTAGTACATATTCCCTGTTTTAGGTCAGTTAGGATCACCACTTTATTTTAAGAATGTGAAATGTCAGAATAATAGTATAGAGAATTATTTATTTCAGCTTTTATTTCTTTCATCACATTCCAAGTGGGTCAGAAGTTTACATACACTAAATTAGTATGTGGTAGCATTGCCTTTAAATTGTTTAACTTGGGTCAAACGTTTCGGGTAGCCTTCCACAAGCGTCCCACAATAAGTTGGGTGAATTTTGGCCCATTCCTCCTGACAGAGCTGGTGTAACTGAGTCAGGTTTGTAGGCCTCCTTGCTCGCACACGCTTTTTCAGTTCTGCCCACAAATGTTCTATAGGATTGAGGTCAGGGCTTTGTGATGGCCACTCCAATATCTTGACTTTGTTGTCCTTAAGCCATTTTGCCACAACTTTGGAAGTATGCTTGGGGTCATTGTCCATTTCAAATCAAATCACATTTTATTTGTCACATACACGTGTTTAGCAGATGTTATAGCGGGTGTAGCAAAATTCTTGGAAGACCATTTGCGAACAAGCTTTAACTTCCTGACTGAGTCTTCAATATATCCACATAATTTTCCTTCCTCATGATGCCATCTATTTTCTGAAGTGCACCAGTCCCTCCTGCAGCAAAGCACCCCTACAGCATGATACTTCCACCCCTGTGCTTCACGGGGATGGTTTTCTTCGGCTTGCAAGCCGCCCAATTTTTCCTCCAAACATAACGATGGTCATTATGGCCAAACAGTTCTATTTTTGTTTAATCAGACCAGAGGACATTTCTCCAAAAAGTATGATCTTTGTCCCTATGTGCAGTTGCAAACCGTAGTCTGGCTTTTTTATGGCGGTTTTGGAGCAGTGGCTTCTTCCTTGCTGAGCGGCCTTTCAGGTTATGTCGATATAGGACTCATTTTACTGTGGATCTTCACAAGGTCCTTTGCTGTTATTCTGGGATTGATTTGCACTTTTCGCACCAAAGTACATTCATCTCTAGGAGACAGAACACATCTCCTTCCTGAGCGGTATGACGGCTGCGTGGTCCCATGGTGTTTATACTTGCGTACTATTGTTTATACAGGTGAACGTGGTACCTTGAGGCGTTTGGAAATTGCTCCCAAGGATGAACCAGACTTGTGGAGGTCTACAATTTTTTTTCTGAGGTCTTGGCTGATTTCTTTTCATTTTCCCATGATGTCAAGCAAAGAGGCACTGAGTTTGAAGGTAGGCTTTGAAATACATCCACAGGTACACCTCCAATACACTCAAATGATGTAATTTAGCTTTTCAGAAACTTCTAAAGCCATGACATCATTTTCTGGAATTTTCCAAGCTGTTTAAAGGCACAGTCAGCTTAGTGTATGTAAACTTCTGACCCACTGGAATTGTGATACAGTGAATTATAAGTGAAATAATCTGTTTGCAAACAATTGTTGGACAAATTACTTGTGTCATGCACAATGTAGATGTCCTAACCGACTTGCCAAAACTATAGTTTGTTAACAAGAAATTTGTGGAGTGGTTGAAAAACGAGTTTTAATGACTCCAACCAAAGTGTATGTAAACTTCCGACTTCAACTGTACAGATAGTATCCTCTGGCACTGATATCTTAATCTCTTGCCAGTCCCCTTGGTCTTCCACTCCACTGATCGAGTGCATCTCCTTTACAGATTAATGTTGGAATGAGGAGGTGAGCGACACACTGAACACGGAGAGACACAGATGCAGACACATTACAGACACATAGAGGGCTGGTGAGTGAGCATTGACGGTCAGCGAGTGGAGTGCTATAGAAGGAGAAGAGGTGGGGCTAATGGGAGGATTCTCTCCTCTACTCCTGGTTGTCGTTCCTCTCTTCTGCTGTCAGCAGCATCCTCTACTCCTACTGGGATGTGGAAGACTGCTTCGTTTTTCTCTCCCTCTCTTTTCTCTTTATTCTCTCACTATGTGGTAGTTCTGAAGCACTGCACTGTATGTTCTAAGGGGGCTCCTCTGTCTGTTTTTCCTCTCTCTCCCTCCCTATCCTCTCTTTATTTCCACTACTGACAGCTGTGGCCCTCCAACACCATGTACTTCTTAGAAACCACTTGGTCCTGCTGGATTGGGTTCTACATTCCCCTCTCTTCCCTTCCTCCCTCATCCATCTCTCCTGTCCTCTCCCTCTTTCTCACCCCCCCCGCTACTAGGATTTTCATCCCTCCACCACAAGGTCCAGGTACTCGTGTCTCACATGGTTCTGCTGAGCTGGGTTCTGTCCTTGTCCTCTGTCACTACCTCATCAATCTTTCCTTCCCTCGCTCTCCTCCCTCCCTCTCTTTTGTTTCCCACTACCGGCATCCACAGCCCTCCACCACCATGTCCTGGTAGTTTTTGAGCACCACGCGGTCCTGTGGGTCCAGGTAGAGCATGGCGATGGGGCTGAGGGCGGTGGGCACGCAGCAGGCCCGCGGCACAGCTCCGTTCACCGAGTTCACCAGAGTCTGCACCATGGCGTGGCTGGATGAGTTCATGTGGTCGGCCAGCGGGAAGCGGCACTCCCCCAGGCAGAAGAAGGCGTCGTAGCCGCTAGGCGCCACAATCCACTTGTTCCAGCCCACGTCTTTGAAGTCCACGTAGAGCGGGTGGCGGTGGCAGCGGGCGTGGGACAGACGCTTCAGTTTCGCTGCGCGGCCGCCATTACGCTTCACCCTTCCACCCTCGTTCCAGCTACCGCCCCAGCCAGGGCTGGCGCTCCGGTCCCTGTCCCTGTCCCTGTCCCTGTCCCTGTCCCTGTCCCTGTCCCTGTCCCTGTCCCTGTCCCTGTCCCTGTCCCTGTCCCTGTCCCTGTCCCTGTCCCTGTTCCTTTCCCTGTCCTTGTCTCTGTCCCTGTCCCTTTCCCGGTCCTTGCTGTTGCTCCTGCCCCTTTCTCTGGCCCCCTTCCTCCCCCTCATCCTCTGGGCAGTGCCGGAGGTTCTCCGGCCATGGGCGGCTAGTGGCTCCCCGCGCCCGTCATGGCTGTAAGTAACCAGCAGGGGTCTCTCTCGTGCCCAGCTGTGCTCATCCTGTCCCAGAGACCTGCGCACCCTCAGGTGTCCCTCTCTGCGTCCTTCCTCCCCAGTGGAGAGTGGTAGAGCGTCATGGTCAGGGGGGGTGAGGAGGGTGGTGTTACCCAGAGGGGTCACCTCCAGGAGGAAGGCCAGGCTGCCAGTCCGAGCGTGGGCCCCCAGAAATAGTTTGGTGCTGAGGCTGAAGGCCTCCCAGGAGCCAGCTGGCTTGGTGCTGGGGGCCCCTGTGAGGAGCCGTGACTCCAGCAGAGTGGGCTCAGACTCAGAGTCCCCAGTGCCTCCATAGAGGAACAGGCTGACCCTGTGGGCCCCGGGGCCTAGGCTGGCCCCACCACCCCGGAAGAAACGCAGCTCTGCAGACACCACACGCTCATCCTGGGAGATGGAGGACACATTGAAGGAGATGGGCACCCTGTTGTTGCTCGTAGTGGTCTGCCTCTTTTCAAGGGGGAGTGAGGGAACTGGTAGAATCTGAGATAGAGGAGAGAGGGAGGGAGAGAGAGAGAGGTTAAGATAGTTCAAAGAAGAAGGTTCAATTTGTAAAACAAAATTGATGTCCTCCGCAGTAGGTCTCTCTTATAGGATTTTGTAAATCAAACATTGTAATCTCACAATGTCAAATACAAGGTAAATTGACCTGTCAACCCTTGACTTTAAATGTCAGACACATTCCGTGCCATGAACATAGATAAGCTTTTCTTTGTACACACTAGCATCAGAATAGGACCTCCACTTGTTGCTGGTTAGCTTGTGGGTGTTATGGAAACATCCATGTTATCAAATGGAAAATAGATGGTCTGAATTTGGAGCCTACTAACTGCTAAGGCGGAGTCATAACAGAAAGAGACTGGGTATCACAGCCCTGTCGTCATCAATGCCATCTAACCCTGACTGAAACTAGAAATGGAATGTGTAGAACAGTGTCCATTAAAAACATATTGTGGAACTGATACCAAACAGTTGCAAACTATCCACAAAGCGGCTCAGATTAGGAGTGCTGATCTAGGATCTGTCCATATGATCTTATTCATTATCATCTAAAAGGCTAAACTAATCCTAGATCAGCACTCCTACTCGGAGATGCTTTAGGGATATGGGCCCATGTGTAATGTTACCTGTGTGGTGGAAGCTGCGTACGGTGTTGGCCTCCTGGACATGCTGGCTGGGGTAGCTGAAGTGTGGATCCTGGACTAGGTGGTACTGCTGGGAGTGGAAGCGATAGAGGTCCAGTATGTACTGGGGGATGGGCGCACCTGGCCGGGGGTTGGGGTGGGACTGCAGGCCCAGGCGGCTCAGCAGCAGGTTCTGGATGGTCTGGGCCAGGCTGGGCTCTAGGGGGGATGGTGGTGATGACAACAATGGCACACTGCCATCGGGCTCGGTGGCTCCGCCCTGGCGACCAGACGAGGCTTGAGGTAGCAGCAGGACCATCAGGACCAAGAGGTTAGCAGGGAACATGGTGAATCTACATGAGGGAGAGGGGGAGGAGTGGGGGAGGAGAGGGTGAGGAGAGGAGTGAAGTTAGGGTTTATTTCAGGGAGGAGAGGAAACGTAACGGAACGCTTAAGTCTGTCACTTTTTGACGCTTCCAGTGGTGCTCTTTAAAGTCACAAGTGTTCATTGAGATTCTTATACCATATGTTTAATGTATTTTTCAGTAAATTGGAGTGGGGGATTGAAATACCACTACTCACAACTTAAATCCTATGAGAGAAACTACTACCAATATATCATCAGCTTGTTTTCTCCTCTCCCAGTCCCCACCATACTAATTCCTCATCAGCAAAGTGTGAATCATACCGTGACATTCAGAGGACTTCCTACCTCCTAAAAATGTTATGGGCCTAATAGTAAAGACATGTATTTTAACAGTAAACATGTATTACCTTTTAATGTGGCTTGAACACAACCAGTCATTATGTTTTCATCTGATTGTCAAACAAATCCCTTTAAAAAGTAGGCTACCTGCGCATGTTCGTCCACTCCAAAATAATTCCAGCATCCAGACAGTGCTCTGCCATTTGATTAATGGAAAGAGACATCTTTTACAAAACATCAAAACGTTTTATGACATTCGGCAATTGTCATTAGTACTAAACTCTTGTAGCCTGAATTAATTGATGCGTCTTGCTGACAAATGTACCTTTTTTGTCAAAAGAAAAGTTGGGACATCTGAAAAGGGGCTGAAATACGGGACGCAAATAAAGCTATGTTTGTTCAAAGCGGGTAACTGTGAGGGCCCAGTTGAAACAATTATGTAAGTTCGCTAGCGGGCTGGACCCAGTTAATAATGCTGCAAGTTTGCTAGTGGGCTGGACCCAGTCGATACAATGTTGCAAGTTTGCTAGTGAAAGCTCAAGACAGAGATTGAGGCAGAGAGACAAAGACAGAGACAGAGAGAGAGGCAGACAGGCTGAGTAGAGAGATGAATGTGATTAAAATAACCTGAATCAACTGTCACTGGCCTTAAACCATGACAGAGAGGTGGGGGTGTTAGATGAATTTGGAATAAGCTTATTTACCACTGTAGCAGTACAAACTTGCATTTTAAACAAATAGGAGAATGGTTAAATTAGAAACCCCCCAAAGAACCCCCCCCCCCCCCCCCCCCCCCCCCCCCCCCTGTAATTCACACACTGCTCGTCAGGCTATTATTCAGTAATGCAGGTGCGATATCAAGAAATGTACTGCTGGAGTTGTTTGCTGGATACACATGGCTGTAAAAACAGCACCACTTTGTTTTCCGTATTGTTAATTTATTGCTATGTGTTGCCAAAGCCCCATCTCCTAGGAAACTCAAGCACAGGGGGATACGAGTGATTAAGCAGAGACTATATTCAGTGTGTGTGTGTGTGTGTGGTGTGTGTGTGTGTGTGTGTGTGTGTGTGTGTGTGTGTGTGTGTGATTTAGGATAACTAAAATAGTAGTACTGCTAAAACCATAAATTAACTAAAGTTAGTTGACTTTAATGGAGAATAATATCTAGTGAAGCTACTGTACTTTATATCTCTATTGCTCTGATTTACTTTCCAGAGCTTAGTTGCTGAATGGACCTATACAGTAGCTTCAACCAAATACTTGAGACCATAGTTGCTAACTAGCCTGTCTGCTGCGCGGGAAAAGGCCCAGTGCTGGAGGTCATAGCATCAACACCCCAGCCAGCCGGGTTACCACCCCATGTCTCTGTAGTACAGGTGTTAATGATTGAGCGACTAATTATAACCTACAGGCCTTAATGACCTTGTGCCCTCTGGAGTCAGGAGGTCAAGGGTCAGGGTAGGGGTGTCTGACCTGTCTATTGTTCAAAGTAGGATGAAATTGGCCCTGGACACTTAACTAGAAGGTCAGTTTGCCGTTAAGATTGGGGGAGGGTAAGCGGACCCTAGATTTGGTTCAAAGCATTCAAAGCTAGGAGGCTCATGTAGAGACAGACCTGGGCTGGGCCATGACTTTTCTTCTCTCAACCTGTCTACTTTACCATCATCCTACTTCCTACAACTAAAGAAATGATAGATGTCATCATTATTCTAAGAAGAAAAGATACATCTCAATGAATGTAAACAAAATAGATCTCAACATCCTATTTTTCGCTACAGACTAGAGAGAAGCAGTCTCTTCTTCTTATCTTATCTCTCCCTGCCTATCCCTAGCTCATATCTGTACTGAGCTGAAAATCGATTAAGTCCGACATAGCAAGATAACTGAGGCATTTAGGGCACAACGAACACATAACGATGCCATAATGACAGCTAATCATGCCATAGTGTCAGAGTAGGGTTTACAAGGAGGTCACAGGGTGTGTGTTTGTGTGTGTGTTTGTGTGTGTGTGTTTGTTTGCGTGTGTGTTTGTGTGTGTGTGTGTGTGTGTGTGTGAGAGAACAGACACAGTAATACCCTGGGAAAATAAGCTGTGAGCGTGGGACTCTGTTCACTATCCATTAACTTAGGCAGCCCCACCCCAAGTAATGTCTCTCCACCCCATGCTTCTCCACCTGAGGCAACGCTACAGGAGAATTAGAGGACGATTAGAGATTAGAGAGCCACAACTGTACAGCCATTCCCATGGCGTCCTATAGCTCGTAAACTAGATTAAGGACCCCCCCACCTCTTAATGAAGGTTCAAAGGTTAGTTGCAGAAGTGGGAGGAGGGTGAAGGTGGTGGTTGGGGGGGAGTCAGAGGACACCCTGCCGTACATCCATCGAGAGCACATCCACCCATCTCCCCGTGTTTCTCCAGCTAATCTAAACTGGGAGAAAAGCTCCTAAACTTCATTTGGCCTCATTATCTGCGTCGACCCGCCCACCTCTCCGTCGACCCGCCCCCCTCTCCGTCGACCCGTCCCCCTCTCCGTCGACCCGCCCCCCTCTCCGTCGACCCGCCCCCCTCTCCGTCGACCCGCCCCCCTCTCCGTCGACCCGCTTTCTCGCCATCCCCCTCTCTCCCTCCGCTGAAACTGGACTAATCAAGTCTTCCGGGGGAGGTGAGAGATGAGGTGGAGAGAGAGGGTAGGGGGAGAGGGGGTGCTCTCAGACATATTAGATGGTGTCTGACCCAGAGGAGACGGTAGCGTGACCCCAGGCGCACGCAGACGAGAGATGGGCGGTAATCAGGCAGGGCGGTCTGCTCGCTGGCCCTCTGAACTCACAGATGAAAACAGACCAACATAAGTGTATCTCTTTCCCTCTCTCTCTGTCTCTTTCCCGCGCTCTCTTTTATTCTCTCCTTTTCTTAGTCCCTCTTTATCTCCTTAATTTGTCTCTGCATCAATCCCTCACTTTCTGTTTATCTGTCCCCCTCATTCTCTCTTACTCCCTCTCCATTTCTTTCCTGTCTCTGTATAGCTTCTTTGGGGGGCAGAGGAAAGACAGATGGAAAAGGACAAGGTGTGATAGAGAGAGCATTATAGAGAATGAAGGGAAGAAGATATACAGAGTGAAAGAGAGAGAAGGGAAGATATACAGATATCTATTCCCCTTCTCTCTTTTTGAAGCTGTCTCTCTATCACCACTTGTCCTTTTCCATATCTCTTTCCTCTGACCCCCCCCCCCCCCCCCCCCTATGTGTTCCCTGTCTCTCCATTCTTCTTTATCTGCATGTCTCTCTCTTTCCCAATCTCTATTTTTATTTTTCTCTTTATTTCTCTCCCCCTTGTGTTGGTCTTTTTCCTAAGCCCTCTAAATGAATGGTGTTTTTGCGGAAGAGTGCTGCCGAGTGATGCTGGGCGAGAGGGCCCAGTGTCACCGCAGCCGGCTGATTTATCCGTGGCCGCTGTCTTCGTGTTACGCACTTTCCCTTCCTGTTGTTCTTCCCGTGTTTCTTTTCCAAGATTCCTTCTCTCCCTCTCCCTCCCTCCCTCTCTCTTGCTCTCTAACACACACATACACACATGCTCTCTGCCCATGTCATACTACACACACACAAACATGTGCAAGCTCACAAACAGAAAGGAAAACGCTGCACACTGCTGCTCATTGCCTGGATCCACAGGCTCAACACACTTGGTCTCCTCTTGGACTTAACCAGGAGTTCGACTTGAAACCATTTTTATAGTTTCAAAATATCCAAATTATTGTGTTTTTTATGCTAATTGAATATTGACGTGATGTCACTGAGTGCCTTCGGAAAGTATTCAGACCCTTGACTTTTTCCACATTTTGTTAGGTTACAGCCTTATTCTAAAATTGATTAAATTGTTTTTTCCCCCCTCATCACTCTACACACAATACCCCATAATGACAAAGCAAAAACAGGTTTTTAAAAATGTTTGCTAAATAAAAAACTGAAATATATTCTATTTACATAAGTATTCAGACCCTTTACTCAGTACTTCGGCAATTTTGGCAGCTATTACAGCCTCAAGTCTTCTTGGGTATGACGCTACAATCTTGGCACACCTGTATTTGGGGAGTTTCTCCCATTCTTCAGTGCAGATCCTCTCAATCTCTGTCAGGTTGGATGGGGAGCGTCGCTGCACAGCTATTTTCAAGTCTCTCCAGAGATGTTAGATCGGGTTCAAGTCTGAGCTCTGGCTGGGCAACTCAAGGACATTCAGAGACTTGTCCCGAAGCCACTCCTGCGTTGTCTTGGCTGTGTACTTAGTGTCGTTGTCCTGTTGGAAGGTGAACCTTCGCCCCAGTCTGAGGTCCTGAGCTCTCTGGATCAGGTTTTCATCAAGGATCTCTCTGTACTTTGCTCCGTTCATCTTTCCCTCGATCCTGACTAGTCTCCCAGTCCCTGAAGCTGAAAAACATCCCCACAGCATTATGCTGCCACTACCATGCTTCACCATAGGGATGGTGCCAGGTTTCCTCCAGACGTGACCCTTGGCATTCAGGCCAAAGAGTTCAATCTTGGTTTCATCAGACCAGAGAATCTTGTTTCTCATGGTCTGAAAGTCTTTAGGTGCCTTTTGGCAAACTCCAAGCGGGATGTCATGTGCCTTTTACCGAGGAGTGGCTTCCGTCTGGCCACTCTACCATAAAGGCCCTATTGGTGGAGTGCTGCAGAGATGGTTGTCCTGATCCAAGATGGCGTAGCAGTGCGGTCGTGTTCTTTGTTGTGTGTCCGTGTAAATAGCCTGTTTTTTGTATATTTTTTTGTATTTTTCGTACATATTTCCCTATCACACTTTTCATCCTTCTACAAAATATACTTTCCTGCAACCCGCCTCACTCAATGTGGAACAGATTCTATTATTGACTCACCTTTAATCTAGAATCTCCAGTTGAAACTAGCTAGCCAGCTAACTAGCTACTTTCTATTAGCCACCGTTAGCGGTTTTCACCCAGAACATCACATTTTCTGCCGGAATAACTGAATCACTGGACATTAACACCGGATCGCAACTAGCTAGCCGCAACTGAATGGATGTTGCTGTTGGCTAATCACCACTGCCCCCGAAGCAAGAACCAGTTAGCCTTGAGCTAGCCTCGAGCCAGGCCCATATCCCGGCTATCTAACTCTCTGTCTACCGGACGGGAGTAGCAAGCTAACTAGCTACTTGCTATTAGCCACCGTTAGCGGTTTTTCACCATTGTCCGTGGCCTGCACTACCTACCAGCCAGCTCTAGCCTGGACTATTATCGGCCAGTCTGCACTGTCTGCACAGCGCGTTATCGACCCAGAACATATCGGTTTTTCTGCCAGAATCACTGAATCACTGGACCTTTAACACCGGATCATCGCAACTAGCTAGCTGCAACCAAATGGATGTTGTTGTTGGCTAATCAGCCTTGAGCTAGCCTCGAGCCCATCTCCCGGCTATCTACCTCTCTGTCAACCGGACGGGACCTCCTAGTGTTGACACGGAGCCCCGCCGATCCAGCACAACTGGTCTGCCGACGAAATCGTCTGGAGTGGTTTCAACAGGCTTCCTGTTACGACGTCGACCACGAAGATCCATCTGCTAGACCCGGCCCGCTAGCACACGCAAGCCGTGGCCTCTTGCTCGTCAGTGCTGTAGCAGCCCCCGAACTACCTCCAAACTCTCCTATTGCTGTTCACCGGACCTTATGATAACTCAACTATACAGCTGATGCCTGCTGGACTGTTCCTTTATACGTATGGTAATATTTTATGTATCATTAAGGAAAATGTTGGGAAATGTCAAAGGTAAAATATAGTGTCTGAGCCACGTCACCAATATAATGAGATAAGGGAAAGAGGCAAAAGCACCCATGGCCTTTTGGAGTAAACAACATGTGTTATTGGACTTTTAAAAATAATAGTGGCGTGGCAGTTAAAGATGTTAATCAGTTATCTTAAGGGGAGTAGCTGTATAAGCTATGTATACATGACTGTGCATTTGTGTGTGTATAAAAGAGATCTCTGAGCCAAAGAGAGACAGCCGTTACGCAAATAATAAAGTCAAATTTTTGGATTCAAAAGCTTCAGTCTCTTGAGAGATATTTTTGAGTTGACTACTTTTGAGTCAAATATTTCTACGACATACGGTACCGCATCCTGTTTATGTTTAGCCTCAGCCCAAACTTTGTCGCCATTACCAGCTGTTGTTTTAGCTCTCTCGAATAACACCTGTGATTGCTTTATGCCTCTCTCCCATGTCAATATGCCTTGCTTATTGCTGTTTCGGTTATTTCTTATTGTACTATTTCACTGTAGATCCCCCAGCCCAGCTCAACCTGCCTTAAATAGCGCCTTTGTCCCACCCCCCATACACGCAGAGACCGACTCAATCGGTGCCTCCAGTGATGCTATCTCTTTCATCGTAACCCAACGCTTAGGTTTACCTCCACTGTACTCATATCCTTCCATATCCTTGTCTGTACATAATGCCCTGAATCTATTCTACAATGCCCGGAAATCTGCCCCTTTTTTTCTCTGTACCCAACGCACTAAAAGACCAGTACTTAAAGCCTTTAGCCGTATCCTTATTCTACTCCTCCTCTGTTCCTCTGGTGATGTAGAGATTAACCCAGGACCTGTAGCCCCCAGTATCACTCCTACTCCCCAGGCGTTATCATTTGTTGACTTCTGTAACCGTAAAAGCCTTGGTTTCTTGCACGTTAACATCCGAAGCCTCCTCCCTAAGTTTGAGTTATTCACTGTGTTAGCACACTCCGCCAACCCTGATGTTCTAGCAGTGTCTGAATCCTGGCTTAGGAAGATCACCAAAAATGCAGAACTTTCCATCCCCAACTACAACATTTTCCGTCTCGATAGAACTGCCAAAGGGGGTGGGGTTACAATCTACTGTAGAGATAGCCTGCAGAGCTCTATCGTACTATCCAGGTCTGTGCCCAAACTGTTTGAGCTTCTACTTCTAAAAATCCACCTTTCCAGAAATAAGTCTCTCACTGTTGCCACTTGCTACAGACCCCCCTCAGCCCCGAGCTGTGCCCTGGACACCATATGTGAACTGATTGCCCCCCATCTATCCTCAGAGATCATACTGCTTGGTGACCTAAACTGGGATATGTTTAACACCCCGTCAACCTACACTCTAAACTAGATTGCCCTCAATCTCACACATATTATCAACGAACCTACCAGGTACAACCCTAAATCTGTAAACATGGGCACCCTCATAGATATCATCCTGACAAATTTACCCTCTAAATACACCTCCGCTGTCTTCAACCAGGATCTCAGCGATCACTGCCTTATTGCCTGCGTCCGTAATGGGTCCGCGGTCAAATGACCACCCCTCATCACTGTCAAACGCTCCCTAAAACACTTTAGTGAGCAGGCCTTTCTAATTGACCTGGCCCGGGTATCCTGGATGGATATTGACCTCATTCCGTCAGTAGAGGATGCCTGGTTGTTCTATAAAAGTGCTTTCCTCTCAATCTTAAATAAGGATGCCCCATTCAAAAAATTCAGAACTAAGAACAGATATAGCCCCTGGTTCTCCTCAGACTTGACTGCCCTTGACCAGCACAAAAACATCCTGTGGCATACTGCATTAGCATCGAACAGCCCCGGCGATATGCAACTTTTCAGGGAAGTCAGGAACCAATATACACAATCAGTTAGGAAAGCAAAGGCTAGCTTTTCAAACAGAAATATGCATCCTGTAGCACTAACTCCAAAAAGTTTTGGGACACTGTAAAGTCCATGGAAAATAAGAGCACCTCCTCCCAACTGCCCACTGCACTGAGGCTAGGAAACACTGTCACCACCAATAAATCTACAATAATCAAGAATTTCAACAAGCATTTTGCTACGGCTGGCCATGCTTTCCACCTGGCTACCACTACCCCGGCCACCAGCTCTGCACCCTCCGCTGCAACTTGCCCATGACCCCCCCCCCCCCCCCCCCCCCCCGCTTCTCCTTCACACAAATTCAGACAGTTGATGTTCTGAAAGAGCTGAAAAATCTGGACCCCTACAAATCAGCTGGGCTAGACAATCTGGAACCTTTCTTTCTAAAATTAGCTGCCAAAATTATCGCAACCCCTATTACTAGCCTGTTCAACCTCTCGTTCGTAACGTCTGAGATCCCCAGAGATTGGAAAGCTGCTGCGGTCATCCCCCTCTTCAAAGGGGGTGACACTCTAGATCCAAACTGTTACAGACCTATATCCATTTTGCCCTGCCTTTCAAAAGTATTTGAAAGCCAAGTTAACAAACAGATCACCGACCATTTCGAATCCCACCGTGCCTTCTCCGCTATGCAATCCGGTTTCCGAGCTGGTCATGGGTGCACCTCAGCCACGCTCAAGGTCCTAAACGATATTATAACCGCGATCGATAAAAGACAGTACTGCACAGCCGTCTACATCGACCTGGCCAAGGCTTTCGACTCTGTCAACCACTGCATTCTTATTGGCAGACTAAATAGCCTTGGTTTCTCTAATGACTGCCTCGCCTGGTTCACCAACTACTTCTCAGATAGAGTTCAATGTGTCAAATCGGAGGACCTGTTGTCTGGACCTCTGGCCGTCTCTATGTGGGTGCCACAGGGTTCAATTCTCGGGCTGACTCTATTCTCTGTGTATATCAATGATGTCGCTCTTGCTGCTGGTGACGCTCGGATCCACCTCTATGCGGACGACACCATTTTGTATACATCTGGCCCTTCATTGGACACTGTGTTAACAAACCTCCAAACGAGCTTCAACGCCATACAACACTCCTTCCGTAGCCTCCAACTGCTCTTAAACACTAGTAAAACTAAATGCATGCTCTTCAACCGAACGCTGCTTGCACCCGCCCACCCGACTAGAATCACTACTCTTGGCGGGTCTGACCTAGAGTATGTGGACAACTACAAATACCTAGGTGTCTGGTTAGACTGTAAACTCTCCTTCCAGACTCACATTAAGCATCCCAATCAAAAGTTAGATCTAGAATTGGCTTCTTATTTCGCAACAAAGCCTCCTTCACTCATGCTGCCAAACATGCCCTCGTAAAACTGACTATCCTACCGATCCTTGACTTCGGCGATGTCATTTACAAAATAGCCTCCAACACTCTACTCAGCAAATTCAATGTAGTCTATCACAGTGCCATCCATTTTGTCACCAAAGCCCCATATACTACCCACCATTGTGACCTGTACGCTCTTGTTGGCTGGCCCTCACTACATATTCGTCACCAAACCCACTGGCTCCAGGTAATCTATAAATCACTGTTAGGCAAATCCCCGTCTTATGTTAGCTCACTGGTCACCATAGCAACACCCACCCGTAGTCTGCGCTCCAGCAGGTATATCTCACTGGTCATCCCCAAAGCCAACACCTCCTTTGGCCGCCATTCCTTCCAGTTCTCTGCTGCCAATGACTGGAACGAACTGCAAAAATCTCTGAAGGTGGAGACTCTTATCTCCCTCACTAACTTTAAGCGTCAGCCCACCCAACTACCTCATCCCCATATTGTTATTTATTTAGCTAATTTGCACCCCAGTATCTCTATTTGCACATCATCTTTTGCACATCTATCATTCCAGTGTTAATACGATATTGTAACTATTTTGCACTATGGCCTATTTATTGCCTTACCTCCATAACTTACTACATTCGCACACATTGTATATATATTTTCTGTTGTATTTTTGACTTTATGTTTTGTTTACCCCATATGTAACTCTGTGTTGTTGTTTTTATCGCACTGCTTTGCTTTATCATGGCCATGTCGCAGTTGTAAATGAGAACTTGTTCTCAACTGGCTTACCTGGTTAAATAAAGGTGAAATAGAAAAATAAAAAAAATAAAAATCTCCACAAAGGGACTTTAGCGCTCTGACAGAGTGACCATGAGGTTCTTGGTCACCTCCCTGACCAAGGCCCTTTCCCCCCGATTTCTCAGTTTGGCCGGGCGGACAGCTCTAGGAAGTGTCTTGGTGGTTCCAAACTTCTTCCATTTAAGAATTATGGAGGCCACTGTGTTTTTGGATACATTTTTTGGTACCTTTCCTCAGATCTGTGCCTCGACACGATCCTGTCTCGGAGCTCTATGGACAATTCCTTCGACCTCATGGCTTAGTTTTTGCTCTGACATGCACTGTCAACTGTGGGACCTCATGTCCAATCAATTGAATTTACCACAGGTGGACACTCAATTTCGTGTTTCATAGCAAAGGGTCTGAATACTTATGTAAATAAGGTATCTGTTTTTGTTTTTTTAATACATTTGCAAAAATGTGTACCAACCTGTTTTCGCTTTGTCATTATGGGGTATTGTGTGTAGATTGATGAGGGAAAAAAATAATGTAATACATTTTAGAATAAGACTGTAACGTAACAACATTTAGAAAAAGTCAAGGGCTCTGAATACTTTCCAAATGCACTGTATATAGGACCTTCCACCCCCACCTGGGATATGGATGCTTGATGAAGACCTAAGGGTGGAAACGTTGTTATAAATAAAATCACCTGGGAGTATGAGCAGCAGTGTGTGGCGTTTTCCTTTCTGTTTTCCATGGGTTTGCCTACAACTCCAGCACCTGCGGAAAGTACCTGGTTGTGCCTCTGTTCTTCAGCTTTTATACAAGCTCACAAACACACATTCCAAGAACGTTGTTTTTTATAACTTGCTCAACCCGCATCTCTGTGGAACATTCTCATAATCATCTGAAACCTACACACCTACACCTAATGCATCTGGAATGTTCCTCACACCTCTCTATACACCGCTAACACACGACAGAGTTTTCTAACGACTACTGCATTCACTGCTTTATGATTTAATGTATGAGGCTGAAGATAGGATGTAAGAGTGAAAAATGTATGTAGCGACATTTTCCTAAGCATGACAGTTGAAATCATTAGAATAATATTCCTGGTAGCCTGCAGTGTGGTTTTATTAGAGTGTATTATAATTTATCCCAGCTGGGGGCGATTAAGAGGCTAATGACACGGGCAGCCCAGACTTCAGCCCGCCGCTCACCTTCCTCAACAAACCTTTATGGTAATTACTGCCCACAATGCACAGCTCCACACGTATGCACCACGCAGGCAGAGTGCAAACACGTACATGGAAATGCAAGCCAAGAGGACCAGATATGTGTGTTTTGTGTATATGTGAATGCATTTGATGGACAAAAGCCAATCGATTAGAATGTTTTCATGCATAGCTCTGCACATGCATCATACACACACACACACACACACACACACACACACACACACACACACACACACACACACACACACACACACAAACACACGTACAATCTCAAAAAATGTCATATTCTTGGACACACACACACACACACAAACACACACACACACACAGAGGAGGAAGAGAATGCAGTGTCTGCTGCCAGGGTTGAGATGACAGCAGACGATCAGGCTCCCTAAGGTGAATTGGAGTAGACCAGACACTTTCCAGCTACTGGGGAACCAACCAACACTCTCACAACATCGCCAGAAACTGCAACTTCTAGGCTCTACAGAGGGTGGTGAGTATGGTCCAGTACATCACTGGGGCCGAGCTCCCTGCCATCCAGCACCTCTATACCAGGCAGTGTCAGAGGAAGGCCCAAAAATGTGTCAAAGACTCCAGCCACCCAAGCCACAGACTGTTCTCTCTGCTACCACACGGCAAGCAGTGCCAGTCTGGAACCAACAGGACCCTGAACAACTTCTACCCCCAAGCCATAAGATCGCTAAAGAAGACTGCTAAATAGCTAATCAAATGGCTACCCGGACAACCTGCATTGCCCCTTTTTCGCACTAACTCTCGTGCACTGACTATGTTCACACCCCAACACATACATACACGCTACATATGCCCACACACATATAAGACGGGCACACTTGTATACTGACACCACACACACACGCACATACACACACACACTTTCACACTCACCACATGCGCTACTACTACTGTCTATTATCTATTCTGTTGCCTAGTCACTTTAACCCTACCAATATGTACATATCTACCTCAATTACCTCATACCCCTACACATCAACTCAGTACTGGTACTCTCTGTATATAGCATGTTATTTTGACTCGTTATTGTTATTCGTTATTCACTGTTATTTTTTTCCTCCTGTCACTATTTCTATAAAATATATTTATCTTTAACTCTGCATTGTTCAAAAAGGACCCGTAAGTAAGCATTTCACTTTTAGTCTACACCTGTTGTTTACGAAGCATATGACAAATTACATTTGATTTATTTAGAACATTAGCTACCTGTACCCTTGGAAAGACATTAGCCAGACACACAATGTACAGTACAGTAGTAACCACTGCCAGGACGTTCATTCCCAGGTACATTCTCAAAAGAGTCTAACTAGCACATACAGTGCAGGACATCAACAGGTCACCTTTAACTCCATCTATTTCAACCAGGACTGTAAGTCACTGGAAGCTTTTCAGCCCTTGTATATCTTCATCTATTTCAACTAGGACATTCACAACTGTATGCCTCAGTGTTCACGCCGTTTCTCGCTGTAATCCATACATTTCACTCAGAGCTGTTCAGATGATTTGAGAGTCAGGGAGTTAAGCGACAGACACCAGGAGGCTGTGTTTTGGTTAACAGGAGGCTTGCGGAGGCAGAACATTGCAGAAGCATTGGTGGAAACAGTGACATGCACGACACGTGACATCAGACACATCAAATACTTCACACGTCCTGTCGACACAGACTGAGGTGGAAAAGACAAAAACAGCAATGGTTCACATTAAAGCTATGTTTACCATTAACACTGAGGAATAGTTCAAGCCTTTACACTCCTACAGAGAAGTAAGTTACATTGTGTCTTCTGAAAACACAATAGTCACATTATTCTTGGACCCTCGCTTACAAGCGTTTGATTGAGAGCAACACAATATGCCAGCATCTGCGTGTATGCGAGCATGTGTTTGTTTTCCCTAGAGTGGCTAATGGTTTGAGTAGTGAAGTTCCCGTGGCCAGGCAGAGTTGGCTTGGCATACATGTATATGTGTGTGTTTACGTATGTGTGTGTGAGTGTGCAATACTCACGTCCAGGCGTGGTAGGAGGTGTGCAGAGTCCATGGTTTATCCTTGAGCTCCAGTGTTACGAACCGTCGTCTCTCGCTCCCTCTCCGTTGGACAGAATGGACAAAGTAAACTCTTTACCTCTCTTCCTCTCTCCTTCCTTCCCCCTCTTTCTCTCTCTCTATCTCTGTTTCTCTCTCTTAGGTTATCCTGTGTCCGTGTCTCCTCTGTGAGTGGGCTGTGGATGAGGACGCTGTACTCTCCATGGTTCTCTCCCTGTACTGCTGGGTTCTCCCCTCTCACTCACCCTCTCATCCTGTTGTCAGTTTCAAATAAGCGGCCTCTTAAAAAAAGATCCACCGGCTTTCCCCTGCCTGCCTGACCTCTTCAAACAGGCAACTCCCTCTCTCTGTCGCCTACACTTCCACCTCTGCTCAGACACAGAGAGAAAATTAGACACGCAATATATCTACTGTATGGACCGGCACAAGAAAAATTAGTCTGGAGAGTTTTCTGTAACCGGCAAAAAGATTCCCTCTTGTCCTCAGCTTCCTAAATGTGTCTCCCTTCCTCTCTCATTCTCTTTTTGTCTCTCCTCCCCTTTCCCCCCCCCCCCTCTCTCTCTCTCTCTCTCTCTCTCTCTCTCTCTCTCTCTCTCTCTCTCTCTCTCTCCCTCTCTCTCCCTCTCTCTCTCTCTCTCTCTCTCTCTCTCTCGCTCTCTCTCTCTCTCTCGCTCTCTCTCTCTCTCTTTTTCTCTCTCTCTCTGTCTCCAGCTGGTAAACTCAGCTTAACTCTAAATTACTTTCCTGACCATTTGTCACTATGTCATACCACCCCCACTACCATCAAACACACACACACACACACACTGTTAGAGATAAGGTCAGGGTGGACTAGCAAATTATTTTCCATTATTACTTTTACTATCTCACCCACTGATTTTCATTGACACCATTTTCATTATCAGCTAACATGCTGACATGATCACAGACAATACAATCCCCATGATCATTTCAGGAGTATGTGATTGAATAAGACCAAACATATTCTGTTACCAGACCAAGGTATGAATGGATGACTCATAGGGGAGGATAAAGTCACTACAATTTGGGGGATGTGATTGGATGGAGCAAGGTGCAATCGACCTTCCAGCAGTGGCCACCAAATTGGTATTCATCGGGCAGGGCTATGAGGAAACGTCTCTTTAGGATGTATCGTCTCACATATTAGATTTCATCTGGAGAATCACTTGCTTTCCCGTCCCTCTGCCCCTTCCTCCCCGTCCCAAACACACACACAGCCCCAACTCCCATCAATTCACCCAGTCTGATGAATTACCCTGGGCCAGAGGGACAACACACACGCCTTCCCATCTGTGGGCTCAGACAATTTACAGGACAGTTATCTAATGTTATCTGCGTCATCTGAACAATTACACTGTAATTACATACAGTATATTTCACAGCAGTATTTGCTTTGATCATGACGTACAGTATTTTTCATAGTACCTCTGGATTCGTGAGGACATTCTAATCAAATAAGAGGACACTAGGAAGCAACACATGCTGTTACATGTTTGGTGAGACCATAACATTATCCTGTCCAGTCTGTCAGTGAGTAGGCTACAGTATGGACCCTTCAGTGAGTAGGCTACTTTATGTGTAAAGGAGTATTGCTTCCTCCTGATTCAGCTCTTACAGAGGCTCGAACCCAGGACCCCTGCCTTGCAAACACACGTGACCACCCTCCTGAAGTGTCTTTCCCAATTATGCCATCGAAAAGCTAGCTATTTGGCATTGCAAGTGGGGATACTTCAGGCTGAGGAGTGAGTTTCACAGACTCCCATCTGCTACATATGGACCCTTCAGTCAGAGTAGGCTACTGTAAGGACCCTTCCTCACAAGAGCAGTGGTAACTCCACTTCTTCCTCCAGGTTTCCCATCCTCTGGAAAAGACGTCCGCTGTCCCACGTCCCCCTTCACATTCCGACGGGGGTGGAGGAGCTTTTAAAGTAATACCTCACCGCTCTCTTAACAAGCTGACCGGAGTCTTCCCCCCACCATTTCTCAATCCTTTTCCTGTCCACTACACTGACTGGAGTCACATTTGGAGGAGAGGGGACAGAGACTAGGGTCCTTGATCCCTCTGTACTCTTCACTTCAAATTGTTACATATATTATCAACATGGTGTACTGTAGCGTTCAGCACACACACTTAATGTACACATACTGTACTGTATGAACATTGTTGCCCCTTGGTGTGTCTGAAATAGGAAAAGTCAACAAAGAAATGGACCTTCCACACAAGGGCCTAATTCTGTTGTGGTTTGATTAATTGAACTTCAAGACGGCTGACAACTATCTAGAGACATCGCATCCATGTTACTGCTCAATTAATCGCTGAATTAAAGATGATGGATTGTAGAGTCAGGTGGGACTGAAAATAGCCTAGGCGTAAAAGCAGGAAGTGAGGGGGGAGAAGAGCAGTAAAGACGTTATAGACGATGGCGTGATCCTTGGCCTCAGCAATAACACAAACAGCTGAACTAGAGCTGTTCAGCTTGAGCATAAATGCTTCTCAGGCGATAATGGGAGAATTTACGAGCCACTTTATATCTGCGATAAAGTTCCAAACAAGTGGTCGAAACCGCACTCCTTATCTGTGCCCAACTAAACATCTGTTTGCTCAGGTAACCTCCTCATTAAACTCAGTTAGAACTGCACACACAGTGCATGACACACATTCTTTGACGTCACTCTGTAAGTAATTATATAAGATACAGTTGAAGTCGGAAGTTTACATACACCTTAGCCAAATACATTTAAAATCAGTTTTTCACAATTCCTGACATTTAAACCTAGTAAAAATTCCCTGTTTTAGGTCAGTTAGGATCACCACTTTATTTTAAGAATGTGAATATTTATTTAAGCTTTTATTTTTTAAATCACATTCCCAGTGGGTCAGAAGTTTACATACACTCAATTAGTATTTTGTAGCATTGCCTTTAAATTGTTTAACTTGGGTCAAACGTTTCGGGTAGCCTTCCGCAAGCTTCCCACAATAAGTTGGGTGAATTTTGGCCCATTCCTCCTGACAGCTGGTGTAACTGAGTCAGGTTTGTAGGCCTCCTTGCTTGCAGACGCTTTTTCAGTTCTGCCCACAAATGTTCTATAGGATTGAGGTCAGGGCTTTGTGATGGCCACTCCAATACCTTGACCTTGGTGTCCTTAAGCCATTTTGCCACAACTTTGGAAGTATTCTTGGGGTCATTGTCCATTTGGAAGACCCATTTGCGACCAAGCTTTAACTTCCTGACTGATGTCTTGAGATGTTGCTTCAATATATCCACATAATTTTCCTTCCTCATGATGCCATCTATTTTGTGAAGTGCACCAATCCCTCCTGCAGCAAAGTACCCCCACAGCATGCTGCCACCCCCGTGCTTCTCAGTTGGGATGGTGTTTTTCGGCTTGCAAGCACCCCCTTTTTCCTCCAAACATAACGATGGTCATTATGGCCAAACATTTCTAATTTTGTTTCATCAGGCCAGAGGACATTTCTCCAAAAAGTACGATCTTTGTCCCCATGTGCAGTTGCAAACCGTAGTCTGGCTTTTTTATGGCGGTTTTGGAGCAGTGGCTTCTTCCTTGCAGAGCGGCCTTTCAGGTTATGTCGATATAGGACTCGTTTTACTGTGGATATAGATACTTTTGTACCTGTTTCCTCCAGCATCTTCACAAGGTCCTTTGCTGTTGTTCTGGGATTGATTTGCAATTTTCGCACCAAAGTATGTCCATCTCTAGGAGACAGAACGCGTCTCCTTCCTGCGTGGTATGACGGCTGCGTGGTCCCATGGTGTTTATACTTGCGTATTATTGTTTTTACAGATGAACGTAGTACCTTCAGGCGTTTGGAAATTGCTCCCAAGGATGAACCAGACTTGTGGAGGTCTACAATTTTTTTTCTGAGGTCTTGGCTGATTTCTTTTGATTTTCCCATGATGTCAAGCAAAGAAGCACTGAGTTTGAAATACATCCACAGGTACACCTCCAATTGACTCAAATGATGTCAATTAGCCTATCAGAAGCTTCTAAAGCCATGACATCATTTTCTGGAATTTTCCAAGCTGTTTAAAGTCAGTCAACTTAGTGTATGTAAACTTCTGACCCATTGGAATTGTGATACAGTGAATTATAAGTGAAATAATCTGTCTGTAAACAAGTGTTGGTAAAATTACTTGTGTCATGCACAAAGTAGATGTCCTAACCAACTTCCCAAAACTATAGTTTGTTAACAAGAAATTCATGGAGTGGTTGAAAAACAAGTTTTAATGACTCCAACCTAAGTGTATGTAAACCTCCGACTTCAACTGTAGCTGATGGTGTGCTCTAAAGACTATTATAAACTGGGAGGTTCGAGCCCTGAATGCTGATTGGCTGAAAGCCATGGTATATCAGACCGTATACAACAGGTAAGACAGAACATATATTTTGACTGTTCTAATTATGTTTGTAAACAGTTTATAATAGCAATAAGGCATATTGGGTGTTTGTGGTATATGGCCAATATACCACGGCTAAGGGCTGTATCCAGGCACTCCGCGTTGCGTCATGCATAAGAACAGCCCTTAGCCTTGGTATATTGTCCATATACCACACCTCTTCTGGCCTTATTGCTTAACTGTGCACTGGTAATTTTGTAGCAATATTGGCAGAAAAAAATCCATTGAAAATAGGCAAGTTTTACTTACAGATGTAGGATCTTAATTTGATCACTGTTTTGTTGCTGAGAATTTTCTAGAACAGCAGGAAATGCAAACTTGTAGTGTATTCAAGGTTTAAAAAGGCTTCTATAGTTCGTAATTTCCACTATAAAATGTCAGACTTGATTTGCCCTAACAAAAAATGTCAACTCCTACAAAAGATGTCCATTAATTATAATCCACATAATAATTCACATTTCCTGCTGCTGCAGGATTATTTTCCTGCTGTAGCAAACTGTCTCAAATTAAGCTCCTACATCTGTATATGGGGAAATTTGACTGGCAGCACCACCAC